AGAAAATGAAAACAAAAAATGTTAATAAACATTCTTCGCTCTTTTTTTTTTTTCTACACAAGCATCTAAAACAATATCAATAGGCTTAACAACTGAATGCAAAATCACCATATAGTCTACGCTTCGAGCTTCAGAAGATTAACTTTTGATTTGCAATAGAAGCTGTCACCATTGATATAGATATTGGTTTGTTCAACCCAAATATGCGGCCTGGGATATAGTGATGAATGAAGCGTTAGACTTAACACACAGCCCTTCATCTCATTGCGGCTTTACAATTCCCAATAACCAATACCAAGCTATTTTACCTGCTTACATAAGCTAGCAAAAATAAGAAAAAGCCATTTCCCAGCAGATATAATAAATTTAACAAGCTTTAACGCAGAAAATTTGAATTGTTAAGACATAACACAAAACGGTGTAAATTTGCATGCACACCTTTGCCCACAACATCAGTTTACATATATCAGCAATACACTGAATGGGCACAATAGTCGTCCCTGAGTACACTTATAACAAAACAAATGATGGCTGTTGACTATTGTTTTGCAACTATGTGTATATATAATTGTTTTTTTTTGGACGGTAATAAGAACCAGGATTAGTAGGTGGTTGGTGATGACCATTTGATCTCTTAAGACGCACAGAAACCTTGACCCAGCAGCCCATCACTTTGTACACTATAGCTTATTACTGAATACGTTAAGGTGCCAACAAAAAAGAAAAGGAAGCAAAACAAAAGAAAAAGGAAGAGGAAAGTAAGTCAGCCTAAATTATTCTATTTGATGGCAACTGATACTATGGATATATCGTATTAAATGCTGTTGTCATTGCTGTATACAATATTAACGTTGTACTGCTAACCATACTTCCTCGATTGTCTCCGTATACAGTTGAGCTGCCGGATAGTATATTTGCACTGATCAGGAACTGAGAATTTTTGATTCACTGAAAATTAAATAATGCAACCTCTAAATTTTATAGACCAATAGTAGAGAGAAATAAGTGTACAATGTATAGTAACAGTTCAGATAGGAATATGGTACAGCAACGAACGAAAAGTAGCATTTAAACTTGGGAAATTTTCAAGCAGTACTAAACAACAAATGGTTTGGATAAAAAATGCCGACATTTGTCAACCATAGCCTTTCTCACTCTTTTTTTCTTGCGGTTTACATAGAGTGAACGGGTACTCACTTGAAAATTGACATTTGACACTTCAGTTTTTTCTAACCCTCCACCTAAATGTTGTTGTTTTGCTTATTTCTTGACAATTTTATAAGACGGCAATAACAGTGAAAATTGTAAGAAGAATAAAATTGTTCAACCGCGCAGATAAATATAGTGCCATAAATCGAGAAAAAATGAAAAACCAAAATTCTGTCCCAGGTATCAGGTCACATTAAAAGTCTATAGTTTTATTGAATGTTTATGAACGGTATGCAACTGTTTCAATTGCCAACGTGTAATTTTTAGGTTTAAAGAGAAAAAAAGTAACGAAAGCAGAAAAAAAGAGTAATTTTCTTCTTTTTTTTTCATCTTCCGTTATTGTTGATACAGCAAATTTTTGTAAATACTTATTTCTATCAATATAATAAATGGTGTCGGCAAAGTAACGAGTATGACAGTTGCATTTAATGGTAATAATTATTTTCTGATTCAAAGAAATTGGTGTTTTTAAAAACCTTTTAAATTACCACTAAAAAATTATGAATTTTGATTTCAGGAAGCGTTAACCGGTCAACTTATCAATTACAGTTGATTTTTGCTTTGTTTTGTTAAAAAAAAAAACTGTCTTCAAATTGCTGTCAGAGAATGATTGTCGATCACTTAATATGTGTAAACTGCATTCAGATGCAAAATATATACATGCATTTATAACAGTATGGTGATTGTTCAAAATTACAATTCAGCTATTTTTTTTTTTTTTTTTCAAAAGATTTGATTTTTACAAAAAAATTTCTAAGTGACATTTGTACTTCCTGAATCAGCGTCATTATAACCACAAAAAAAATAGTGATGTATCTGTTCCAAGGCGGCATCTATAGCATCTAGGTGCAGTCATCATAATTCCTATTGTTTTTTATTCTTCTTATCGTCAATTTACAAAACTGTTATAAAGCTGTTGTCAATAGGATAATTCATATCTTTACCTATAATCCGCCATCGTCTAAGTCGTTTTATTCTACAAAAAAAAAAAAAAAAAAAAAAAAAAAAAAA